TACGTTTCGAACAACGACCATTCAGTCCAAATTCTAACCGACCACAAGAACCTGGTGCCATTCATGACTACGAAAGAACTGAACGACCGCCAGATAAGATAGATGGAACACCTCAGCAAATACAACTTCAAAATCGAATACCGACCAGGCAAAGAAAGTGGAAAGCCAGATGCTCTCACAAGGATTGCAAGCGACAAACCACAAACGAAAGAAGACGAAAGGATCAAACAAAAAACACGGACCATATTACCAAAAACCTACTTTGAGGCAATGGAGGTTATCCAATTCACATCAACAGAGGAAAGAGGAATCAAGAACGCAAACGAGAACGACAAAACAATTCAGACAATAAGAGAAACCTTGGAGGAAGGAAAGAAAGAGAGGAAAGGAACTGCTCTGGGTTTATGCCAATTGAAGGATGGAAATATGTGGTACGATGGAAAACAATGGGTCCCAGAAGAAGAGGAGATAAGGACAAACATCATACGACAACACCACGATATCTGAATGCCAGGACACGGGGGAACGGCTAAAACCACGGAATTCATCACAAGGTCATTCTATTGGCCAGGACTGCGCGAGGATGTCAAACGATTTGTCAAAAACTACCACCTATGCCAAAGGACGAAAACGGCTAAACATGCCCCATATGGATTACTAAAATCAAACGAAATTCCCGAACAACCATGGGAAACAATTACTATGGATTTCATCACACACCTACCAGCATCGGAAAATTGCGATAGCATCCTGGTCGTGGTGGATCGTCTGACCAAAATGAGCCATTTCATTCTGGTTAGAAAAGATATCAACATGAGGGATTTTATACAAACATTCTTCAGAGAGGTCTTCCGACTTCATGGCCTACCCAAGAACATCATCACCGATCGAGGAACACTATTCACATCGGGACTATGGAAAAAGGTAACTGGAGAAATGGGAATACAAAACAGAATGAGCACAGCATTCTACCCACAAACGGAAGGACAAACGGAATGGGTAAACGCGATACTCGAACAATATTTAAGGGCTTACATCAATTATCAACAAGATGATTGGTACAAACTGTTATCAATGGCTGAATTCACATACAACAATGGAAAGCAAGAAACGATCGGCACAACACCATTCTTCGCGAATTACGGACAACATCCACAAAGTCAGACCACATATCATACGATTAATGATGTGATACCAGAGAAAACAGATATGGGAAAACTACACGAAACCTTACAATACGAGATGAGTCAAGCACAACAATGGCAAAAAGAACAATACGATAAGCACTGAAGACCAGATCCGAACATACAACCAGGAGATATGGTATGGCTAATACCACGCAATATCCATACGACATGACCATCAAAGAAATTAGACTACAAGAAAATCGGACCCTTCAGGATATTGGAAAAAGTGGGCAGCCGAGCTTATAAACTCGACCTTCCCCCCTCAATATGAATACACAATACATTCCACATCTCACTCCTCGAATTACACAACGACAATAAGTTTCCTTTACAAACACTTGTTCCTCCCCCTCCGATGGAACTCGACGGAGAACCAGAATACGAGCTCGACGACATAGTCGATTCCCGCTTCTTCCACGGTTACCTCCAATACTGAGCCAAGTGGACAGGACATTCTCCTGAACACGATAAAACTTGGTACTTCGCACACAACTTCGAAAACGCATAAGATGCCATCTCAACCTTCCACCAGCAATACCCAGGCAAGCCCGGCCCAGGTGACGATCACGTTCAACCAAGACAAAGGCGAGGGAAAGACTCCCGCGCCGTTACAGCAACACGAGGGCTGGGGCGATAGCACCCGCCAAACCACACCCACCAGCCCCGAATACTCATTCATGGGGCCAACCGACGAAGAGCTCAAGGAAAGGGAAAGACAAGTACAGCATAATGCCATGTCATGGACGGTATGCTATGATGACGGTTGCCAAACACATTTTGGCGACCAAGAAGGCTCGGAATAGTTCCCGAGAGAATGTCGAAAGCGTGGCCCACGCCCAGACCACGTCCTGAAGCATTGGCAACAATGCTTCAGAAAGGGGTGCAGAATGCACAGGGCACAGAAAATATCTGCGGGATTCTACCAGCAGAAGGATGGAAGCAGAAAAGAGTTAGAAGGAGAGGATGCCAGAAAGGCATGGGCTACGAGGACGGGGTCCAAGGAGGGAGGGGCCCAAAACTCCTCCGCAGACACGGAACCAGATGTCAGGAGCCTACACAGGCAGATCCGGGGACTCCGAGAACAACTGGGCCAAGCCGAGGCCACAATTTCGGCAAATGACAAAACGATCACAGAGCTTAGACAGCTGAACGACAATCAGCGGCATACCATCGAAATGGTGAATCTGACTCTGGAATCGGTAAGGGTCAGATGTAGGACGGCAGATGAAAAGTTCCACAAGCTGAGAAGGACCATGTGCTCGGCAGGATAGGAATTAGTGAAACTGGGAGAAATAACCTGATGGGACTCTGGCTTAGGAGGAGGGGAGCTAATGTCACAAACGTGGCTTAGCGAGGAAAGGGTTTTCACGTGACACATAGTTATGAGTCACAGGTACGTTATTGTTTCACACATATGACTCATTCGGGTCATATGATTTGTTATGTGTGGGATGTGTGATGCTTTTGCACATGGCTCAAATATGAGTCATGGGACGTACACAGGGCGAGTGTGCCTTACAAGTATACCTTGCGAGTATGCCTTGAGGGTAAGCCTTATGCATATGATTTATGTTTCGCACATATGACTCAGTTGAGTCATATGATTGGTTTATTGCGTTATGATTGGTTTATGAGTTTTTCACACATGACCTCGCTATGAGGTCATGGGGTTTGAACATGTGACTATGTTGGTCATATGATTAGTTTGTTATGATTTTGTTTTGCACATGTGACCACTTTAGGTCATATGACTATGGGTGGAAGAACACTATATAAGGAGGCCGATGCGGCTGAGGAGGATAGGTTCTTCACGCTTTGTTCTAAGTACTTTTCCTACTTATTACTTTAAAACAAATATAAAACACCTTTATGATCTTTATATTTGCTGCAACGTTATTGTTACGCCAAGGAAGGTTCTTCACGAAGACGAGTTAGAAAAAGCTTACGATAGGCATTCCCGATAGAAGACAAAGGTCTTGTACTATCCGTAATGCGGGCAGAGGCCTAGAGCTATCATAAGACAAAGGAAGAAAGAGACAGAAATGAGAAGTATCGTTTCCCGTCGCCAAGAACTAACTATCTAGAGAGGGATCGTTACAATACTAAAGATTCTAGCCTAAGTCTTCTCAATACATACAATAGTTGGCTTCCACCTAACAGTCAGTTACATTGGTTGACTCTCATCCAATTGATTACTAGTACTGGTATTCGGTTTGTATCTTTGAAGCCTTTTTAGTTATACTACATAAACTAATTAGATATCATCCTAGAAAGCTGTGGCGCTAGCCATTACTAAAGTAAAAAAGATTTAGGTTGACAGCTAGATATAGCTCTTGAATTTGAAATATTGACTCTATTCAAAACCTTTCTCATCACACAATTTGACCCTCCTATCTGCACTCCATAAAGTCCACATATAGTCTTTCTTCAAGCTCAGGCTACCAGCAGTAGCTAAAACCTAATATCTGAGCTCTTACTACTGTGTTCACTCTAACCTCCTCAATGTGCATTTTCTTTTTCATATAATCACTAATCATTTGTTGAGAAATGCAATAAAGATCTGAGGCCTCTTGCTAGGCTGGTTTACAAAATTGATTTGGCTTTGAGAACTGGATTTGATAGTATTCTAAGAACACTGGTACTCTTATTTTTTACTGTTGTGTATAGGTACACTCTGGATTCACAATTTACTTTGAGAAACCATGCTTAAGAATTTGCTGGCTAACTGTCTTTACCTTAGGACCTCACTGTATTTTCTTTGCCTGAACCAGTGGCATGTTTTCGAAATCCTTCTTGTCTACTATCAGATTATCAGCAGAAACCAGCCTATCAGTATACTATAGATTTAGTTCAACAGATTAACAGAGCTGCAAATACCAGATAATGAGATTCAATATACTACTACTGGTAGTAAGTTCTTTTCGGGCTGATTTATAAAGAATGAATGAAAATTCAACAATTGTATATACAGACTTACTTTGCCGTTTAGATTTTAATACAAGTTATCTTTCCTCCGGGCCCACTAGCATTTCCATTATTTATAACTACTACAATTAATCAATATATAACGCTTCTGGCGGTATTTCGACTCATTTGACTCCTCTACTATCTCCTCTTTTCCTTGTCTCATTTTTCTTCGTATTCTCAAGATTTTATGTTTTTCCATCTCGTATACCTAGTACTCATAAGGGTTCATAAGGGAGTCATGCTGGAACTCAAAAGACATTAAGACTGTATTGGAAGACTCTGTTTGTGATAGCGGCTTGCTGATGATCGTGAAAACTGATTCTTTTCAAGGGTTTATATGATCTGTGTGTATAACCTAATTTCGGAATCACGACTAATCACTTTATCCCATTGATGACCCCTCGCTTAACCCTGGAATGGAGGACGTGCGATTTCGGAGATAGTGGATTATAAGGGTTTTTATGGTATATAAATACTAATTTTTGAATTATTATTTTGCCAAGATCACTACCAGCTCATTGCTCTCTGGGAGTTAACCCGATAGCCCACCGAACACGTGATGACCTGGGAAAGACCAAATGAAAGTTATGGAAGAGAGGAAAATATACATGAGAATCACAAGAATAACTATCAGTTGACAAGTACTTGCCTTGGCGCCGAAGAGTTCGAATATGATAGAAGTATGATACCTTGTAAATTTCCATGTATGATATGATACCGTATGATAAGATAGTTCCGGGCAGCGGGTCACATGAGTGACAGGCCGTCGCGCTAGGGCAGTGCAACAAATAGCCCTCGAACACACATGGTGTCTATTTTTTTTTCCTTTTCCACCGTAGTGTTTCTGTCTTTGTGAACAGGTGAAATACTATCAAGACAAGCTCCCCAACCACAACTACAACCGCAACCACACTCAGACCCCACATCCTTCGTCGATATAGGAATCTCCCTGGACTGCGGATCACCCACCCACCATCGTTGAGATTCAACAATCATGTCTCGGTTCTTTCACGGGGGTCTAAGTGACAGCGATACAACCTCCTCTGATGAGGACCTGTACTCAGAAGAGGAGGAGGAGGAGGAGGCTAGCGCCGACGAGTCCGGTTCCGAAGACGAGTCGGACGAAGCCGACAAAGATGACGATGATGATGCGGGGCTAAAATTCTTGTCTCGCGGGGGAGGGGGTGATGATAGCAGTGATGAGGAGGATGGCAAACGAGTCGTCAAGAGTGCAAAGGACAAACGTGTGGAGGAAATCGAGGGCTCTATCAAGCTCATTGAAAATGGGGAGAAGATCAATGACTGGGTGGTTATATCTGTAGGTAGGTACAATTCCGGCTTTATTTCACGATGTTGGCCCGGTTTGGTTCGGTGCGCAGGCGGGGCACACTAGGTTGTTTAGTGGGGCCCTAAGATAACATTTTGATTTTATAGAATTCGATAAGCTCAACAAAATCATATTAAAGAGTCCTGAGATACCGGGGGTTTACATCAAAGCTATTGCCGACCTGGAGGATTTCATGAATGAGACCCTCAAGGATAAGGCTACGGCCAAGAGGATGAACGCTACCAATGCTCGTGCTCTGAATACGATCAAGCAACGTGTAAAGCGTAATAACCGTTCGTATGAATCGCAAGTCGAGGCATATAGAAAAGACAAGGAGGGATTTATGGTCGAGGAGAGAGAGGAAGTTGTTCCAACTCCGAGAGCGCCACGTTCTCAGGAACTAGGTGTCTCCTTCGAGGACGATGATGAAGGGTTCTCTCTGGTTGGGCGGGGTGGAAGGGCCATGGTGTATACTCCTGAGAGTATTTTCAAACATCTGCGAGTCATCATCGAGGCAAGAGGAAAGAAGAATACGGACAAAGGAGAACAAATTAAGGTTATGGAAAAACTGTATGAAGTGGCCCATACACCCTATCAGAGAATCAAGGTCCTCCTGGCTCTTGTTTCCACACGATTCGATCTCACCACCGGTGCTCTCTCCTACATGGCAACTGATCAATGGAAATCGTGAGTGCCGCTACAGAGATTTTTAACCTTGATGAAGATTGCTGACTAATCTATCCTTTACAGTGCTGAACAAGAATTTAATACACTATTGGAGGTTTTGGAAGCTAATCCAGATTATGTTGTTATTGAGACCGCTGAGGAATGGGACGATGATGAAAAGCCACCTCAGCCAGCCCCCGGTGAGATCCTCAAGATCCCGGGAAGCATTGTTTCCTTTGTTGACAGGCTCGATGATGAACTTACACGATCACTACAACACATTGACCCTCACACAACTGAATACATTGACAGATTGAGTGATGAAGGTGCTCTATACACAACCATCCTGAGAAGTCAGCTGTATTTAGAGAGACTCCAGAGGAACCACAATATCCCCACTGACGAGTCGCTGAACCGTGTTATCATGCGAAGGCTTGAGCATCTATACTTCAAGGTAATTCTTATAAAACCCCTATTATGTATCTTGCTAACCTAGCTTGCTAGCCCGGACAAGTCATTATTACCGTCGAGGAGAACGCTTGGAAGTTGATTCCTACCGAACTCAACTCTGTGATTTCTCCTAGGACCATCGCCAATACAGATGCCACCGATCTCCTCCACACATTGGCCACCTACCTCTACAAACACGATGCCACTGTTATCCGGACACGGGCTATGCTTTACCACATCTATTATTACGCTCTCCACAACCAATTCTACAAGGCCCGCGATATGCTTCTCATGTCACATCTCCAAGAGAACATCCATGTTGCCGACGTTGGCACCCAAATCTTGTATAATAGAACTTTGGTTCAAGTCGGACTTTGCGCTTTTAGGGCTGGGTTGATCTACGAAGCTCAGACATCGCTACAAGAAATCTGCGGTACCGGCAGGCTTAAGGAGCTCTTAGCCCAGGGTGTGCAGATCCAACGCTACTCGCAAGTCACTCCTGAACAGGAGCGACTTGAGAGGCAGCGACAACTTCCCTTCCACCAGCACATCAATCTTGAGCTCTTGGAATGTGCATATCTCACTTGTTCTATGCTACTAGAGATTCCTGCATTAGCCGCAAGCGGCTCCTCGCCAGATATGAAGAAGCGCGTTATCAGCAAGACTTTCCGGCGTATGCTTGAATACCATGAACGCCAGATCTTCACCGGTCCTCCGGAGAACACCCGAGATCATGTAATGCAATCCGCCAAGGCCCTCGCAGCTGGAGAATGGAAGAGATCGAGCGAACTCATCCACGCTATCAAGATCTGGGATCTCCTCCCCGAACCACAGAAGATTAAGGAGATGCTTTCCGAGAAGATTCAGGAGGAGGGTCTCAGGACTTATCTTTTCACCTATGCCCCCTTCTACGATACCCTATCACTCAGCCGCCTAGTTGAGATGTTCGACCTCAGCGAGCGTAAGGTTTCGGCACTGGTCAGCAAAATGATCGCCCACGAAGAGATCGCGGCGGCGTTAGACCAGGTCAACAATGCCATCATCTTCAGGAAGGGCGTCGAACTCTCACGTCTACAAACCCTAGCCCTAGCACTCAGTGACAAAGCCAGCGGCCTGATGGAGCAAAATGAACGAGTCCTAGAGCAGAAGACGCAAGGCCAGGGCGGCTTTGAGGGCGGCCAGCAGCGTGGAGGTGGAGGAGGCAGGGGCGGGAGGGGTGGTCAGAGGGGCGATCATTCAGGTGGAAGGGGCGGAAGGGGCGGCCACAAAGGTCCTCGAACACAGAAAAATGTTCAATTTAATCAACAGTCCGGCTTCCATGGGGGAGCTATGAAGACCTAGTTCCTCTTTTGTATCCAATTTCCTTACCTCTCCTCTATCTCCCTCTTCCCGAACATTCTTCTACCCTTCTGTTTACTTCCTACTTCTTAAAAGTTTTTTTTTCCAAGTTACGAGATATACATCATCATCCAAAACCATGTATTTAGGCATCCACTCGCTGGTGCATACGTACAGGGAAAAATGGAAATCTTTGTTTTGCGGTACGGTATATCCATTGCGTTCCCCAATTATGTGATCTAAGTTAGGGAAAGCTAGTTTGTTAGTCAGCTTATTTCTTTTGCTATAATATCTTATTTTGGAGTCCCTTCTTGTGATATAATACTTCCGCCAGTATATCTGGTACCTTGCCTGTGGAGTTTTCCGATACAAGTGGTTTGAGGACAGAATGGGGGCGAACGCTCTGTCTGAGCGAGGAGTGGGGATTTAAGAATTCTATGATCTTGCGAGCTATTCATACTACATTACAGTTCGGAACTACCCTTAGGCCCTATCCCCTTGGATATATACAATAGAAACTCGAATGCGATAGATAATTGGACAATGTTTTAGGTATCGTAGTTGAAAATTCCCCGCTGTCTGCAAAAGGGGCGAAAAAGTGACGGCGCAAGTTGAGTTGCTCGGCCCCTCTGAAACAAAAAACAAAAAAAAACACACGGAACCCCACTGCAGCACCGGAGGAGGCAAGGCAAACGACGTAGCACTCGGTCCAATTGTTCCGATTTCTGAGATCGCGGAAGCTACGTTTGTACAGAGTCAATTTGAGGATTTCTAAGCGTCTATTATTTATCTACTGGACAGTTCAGCGCTTCCTATTGAAGGTGTTATATTGGAATTGGCTAGTCCTATCTCTAGTATGATACCTCGACTAGGCGTTCGTGATGCTAATAGGTGGTGTAAAGTATGATAGAAATTTGAAAAAGCTATATTGCACCACGCTTCGGATGTGTATTCATACATATACACAGTACCTTATGTTCACTTCCTAAGGCTCTCCTACTCCTAGGAAATCTGTAGGTGGGGGGGGAAAAACCGAGATTGTGTCGCGTTTTCTAGGATTTGTCATATCAACCCTGTTATCACCATACTGCACTGGTTCTGATTAGCCGAGTGATAGTGCATGATGAGCCGTGAAAAGAAAGGAAACGAAAATTCAATCCCCATATCATGAAAAAAACTAGATTAATGTCCTAGCAACCCGGTGGAGGGAAAAACAACAGTGAAAAAAGAGAAAAGGAGCCCGATCTGTAAACTAAATCTAGAAATCGAAAAAAAAAGACCTTCTAAGTTAATCACAGCGCCCCCATCCTTGCCATCTTATTCCCATGTTCGCGAATAACCCCATCTAACAACTGCCTGATCTTCCCGCACCCATCAATGCCAACAGCTAGCATACCCTCAAGTCTCTCCAGGCGCACTTTAGTCTCCAACTGCAGCAAGGAAATCTTATCGCTCCTGCCCACAGTCGCGAGTGTGATACCCGGCAAGTCCATCTCCTCGGCGGAGCTCATATCGAGCAGGGGTTCGCCCGACTCGTCCGGGTTGGTGTAGGACGCGACGGTGCAAGCGGTCACGTAGTCCGACATGGGCACGCCAGCGTCGACGAGCGCGAGTGTGGCGGCATTGACGCAAGTGGCTAGGATTGAGCCGTCCTGGGAGAGTATGTGCAGACTGATGTGCACCTCGGAGCGCGGGTGCAGGGTGGTCAAGAGGGTGGTGGCGAAGGTGCGGGAGAGGGCGGATTGCATTTCTAGCACTCGTCTTTTTGATTGTGGTCAATTCGTTAGTAAGGTACCCCTCCCCTAGTGAGCTTGGTGGTCCGAGAAGGTAGGTAAAGTACTTATCGCTTTTCCCTCTCTTCTTCCTATCTGTCCCGCTGAACGCCGCGAAGCAGACGTCCACCGTGACCGTTGCGCGCTCGGAATTGCGAGCGCTAGCGGCGCGAGGCTCGATGGGGCCGTTGACGGAACAAATCACTTTTGTGTTGCCGTGCTCCACGTATGAGCTTCCGTCAGCGGCTGTGGTGGCCAATTTGGCTGAAAAGCGGCGTATTTCGTTCCAGCGACGGCCGTCGGTGCGGAGGCCTTCTGGTGAGAGGATTTCGTAGCGGGACTGGAAGGCCATCGTATCATTATTTCCGTTAGGTTGTGTAATTAGAGGAGATGGTGAGGGAAGAGAAGATTGGTATCATACCATTTTCTAATTTTTTAAGAAACGAGTGACTAGTAGAGGGCAAACTGGAGGGTTTATGGAGATGGGAGGAGGGTCGATTGTGGGATGTATCATGGGTGGGGTTCGAATGGCAGAGCCGCAAACCCCGAAATGTTGCACCGCAAGTTACACACTCCATTTAGGAGGGTAACTTCACCCTGAGGTCAACAACGAACCTTAAAAATATTAGAGACTTTGCGGTGGATGTATCCAGAATCCCTACATGCTAAGAGGAGGATATTTGGAGCCAGACCTTGGTTAGACTTTGCGGTAGATGTGATGAAACATTGATGATGTCATGACAGGAGATAAACTTAGGGTATATCAATGATGTAAGTCAGGTTATAATTCATGAAAAAATTCAGTCCAAACATATCCTCCAAACACAAGTGATGGTTTCAATGCAATTACACAAAGCAGGTTTGTTTTCTTCTTATCCTGTAAGATCATAAGATGTTTAAATTAGCTAATTAAGCGCTTTGAGGAAAATAGAGACTCAGGAATCAGATCAAGTAACACTGCCCTTGGGAAAGCACAAGCCCAGTGGTGCCTGGGAGGCATGGAAAGATCCTGCTCTTGCCTGTCGAGTTCAAGCTAATGACCCAATTTTGGGTCAAATTGGATGTAAGGAAGCATATTGGGAGGATGTTTCTCAGAATCTTGCTTGATATAGAATGAGCCAGTCATGGTCCTCTTGCAATAACTATAAGGAGGAACTTATTAGATGGCATAAGGTTAGTAATTTCATAAAACTAAAAAGTCTATTAAAGAAGAACAATAAATAAAAACAGGAGGATGAAACATACTCAAAGTAAAAGAGTGAAACCAATGAGAAAGTGATGGAATATATTGAATATTTGGATAACATCCAACTCTAATATAAGTCTCTTTCCAAAAATAGGGAAATTAAAAAGGCAGCAAAGGAAAAGATTGCAGAAAAAATAACAAATAGAAAGAAGCTATGGTAGAGCTCATTGGAAGGACTTGTCAGAAAATAAACTTTAGAACTTAGAAGATCAAATGAAAAGAGAATAATTTTACAAACTACTGTTAATAGTGGTAGTAATTCATCCTTACTACAACTACCGAAACCCAAAAAGTATGCAAAAAAGTCACTTTATAAAGAAAGTTATAGGAGTTGTGGATGGCCTACATGAGATGGCTGCTAATCTGAAAAAAAAGGTAGAGGAATAAGAAATTCAGGAGAGAGAAAATACTCTAGTATAGTAAGAATTAGGAAGAAAGATAGATTTATTAATTGAAAGCAATTAATGTACTAATAAGTTAATTTAAGTTCTTCTTCAATCCTTTACATACTTTCTCGGTTGGTATGTCCACGCCTTCTCTATCTTTTACTTCTCTTCTCTCTTGCTGATTTTTGATTCTCTCTAACTCTCCTGACCTCAAACTTCTTTTACTTGCCTAGTTACCAACACTCTCATATTTCTGCTCTCAATTACCTACTAGCTCCTTTGCCTACTGGTACTTGCTTCCTGGTCTCTACACTCACGTCCTGGAATTTTTAATCCCTAGTCTACCATCATGCTTCCCTGTCTTCCCGCTTATAAATCTCCTCATCTAATTACTAGTATTATATCTTACTTGCGGACTTTCATGCTAACTTGCCCACTTTCTTTCTAATCTTCCTTCTTGCTTATCTACTTGTTAGCATCCTTGTTTACTTATTTACTTGCTTTCTTGACTGCTTACTCAATAGATTCCTTGTCTGTTTACTTGCTAGCTTCTTCACCTACCTACTTACTTTTTCATACAACTCTTTACCTGTCTACTCAAAGATTATTTCTCCCACCTGCCCCACTAGCAAAAAAACTTGCTACGTTAGATGTGTTAGTAGTATGTCCTGACACAAATGTTCTGTCACCTGTATCTTATGTATCCTGGATGTTCTCAATATCTTGTTGAGTACTATATGCCCAGAGTATATTCTGAGTTTCCGGTTGCATCCTGCTTGCTTGAAGTAAGTCCTAAGTACGGATGTGGCAATTTTCACCTCTAGATTTGGCCTGGCCAACCGTGATCATTATTTATATCCTGAAGTGACACTCTAGTCATTCTTAATCATAACAAAACCAGAAAGTTTATTAATATCTTGAAGCAAGACCACAGCTATTCTTAATCATAATACTAAGTCATGTACTAGCCATTGATATATCCACTGGTCATTCAGAGTAAATCCAAACATATTTGCAGAAATAGGAAATGAGTAGTACTAAATTCTATTTTAGTTACTTAACCAATCTGGGAGCCAAAATAGTCTACTTTTAAAATGCAAAAGCAAGTAATAGTTGTAATTGTTGAGAGGGTGGTGGGTGGTAACTTAAGTGTTTTGCTGATTTTTTCTAAGTACATTCATCATAATAACAACTACACAATATCATGGTCAGAATATTAACAACAGGTCTGTTAACTATTATTGCTCATCAGTTCCTATACTATCAAAGCTAATAATTTAGGACAATATTTAACTTGAGTTCAGCTTTCTATTGCACTAAAGATTATCTGTCTGATGTGAGTTTCTATGGAGTTATAGCATCTGTTATATCCTGGTAACATACTAAACTTAATACTAAATTTCTCAGGCATCCTTTGTGTGCAGTACTTCCTACTTTGCTGCAATATCCTTCCTGATATCAGCATTCTAACAGTTTAAAGAACATCTACTTGGTACTAATATTGGTAGAGATACAGCTTATTATAAAAGAGGTCTTTACTGGAGAGATTCTGACTATGTGCTGATTTTGACACCAGATACCTTGGACATTCTTTGGGTGCAATGCTTTCTACTATGCAACAACAGTCTACTCCATGCCAGGTTTCCAACTGTGTATAGAATATCTATCCTGTATTAATATTGGTAGAGATACAACTTATGATGAAAATAGTCGTTGCTAGTAAGGTTCTGACTGTGTACTGACTTTGATGCCAGATAGCTCAGGTATCTTTTAGGTGTAGTACGTTATACTTTATAGTAATAATCTACCTAATACCAGCTTTCTAACACTATAAGGAACGTCTATGTCACGAATGTGGCTTGGCATGAAAAAGGTTTTCATAGAACACATGGTTATGAGTCCCAGGTATGTTATTGTTTTACACATATGACTCATTCGAGTCATATGATTTGTTATGTGTGGGATTTGTGATGCTTTCACACATAGCTCAAATCTGAGTCATAGGATGTGCACCTGGCGAGTATGCTTTGCGAGTGTGCCTTGCAGGTAAGCCTTGTGCATATGATTTATGTTTCGCACATGACCTCGTTATGAGGTTATTGGTTTTATGCATATGACTCAGTCGAGTCATATGACTTGTTTATTGCGTTATGATTAGTTTATGAGTTTTATATATGACCTCGCTTTGAGGTCATGGGTTTTGAGCATGTGACCACTTTGGCCACATGACTAGTTTGTTATGATTTGGTTTTACACATGGGACCACTTCGGGTCACATGACTATGAGCGGGAAGAATACTATATAAGAAGGCCGATGTGGCTGAGGAGGATAGGTTCTTCACGCTTTGTTCTAAGTACTTTTTCTCGTCGTTGCCTTCGCTTCGCCTCGAGCCATTCTTTTGCACTCATGATGGGCCCTGATGCCTTGGATTCTAGGAGAGATATCTGAGTTCGCTCAGTAGTTCCTGGGGTCATTGGTGTTGAGGTCTGTTAGGTGTTGTATAGCGGGTTACCTGTTTGCTTCTCGTTTCGTCGCCTGATGGTTTATCACGATGCAGTCACTTCGAGCACTTCATCACAATCGGCTACGAGCCCCTTTCAGTAAAATGTCTATGGCCTCCTGTTTATCATCTACTCACAGGTTTCGCATTCGATTAGGAGGATTGAACATTGTATTTGGGGGGATCACCTGTGTCATTCTTTGGACCAGCTCATGTCTTTTGTTGGGTTTTAACAGAGTCCTTAGTTCTCGTGATACAAAATGCCCTTGGGTTAGACTGATGACCTTCCCAAGTATCAACACGTCGTACTGGCCACATCAATCCAGTGGGGAGGGGGCCTCACTGGCCCCTCCCCTCCTCGTTACTACATGTTTCTACAGTCGGAATCCTACGATGTTGTTTATCACCATTCCCTTGGAAGTTTTGTCCTTGTGGCATTTACGGTGGTTCAGTCAGGTGTCTCCTCTCTGCCTTGGTGGGGATGGCTTTGACCCTGAAAGACTTTACCCCCTGGTGTGGTTATCTATGACTACCTGAGGTGGTGTGGGACGATTGGCTGCCAGACACTTGCGTTGTCTGTGCGTTGGGTTGCTTCGATTGTAGCTTGTGGTTGGCGGCTTCACCCATTGCAAGTGGGGCCTACCTTCTGTTTGACTGCTTCTGTTTCCCTTGCCTTTCCCTTCTAGTCGTGTTAGTTGGGAGTGCCTCCTGCTCAATGTTTAGTCTGTGAATTTGCCGGACCTGTGGGGTTGGCTTCATCTAGCTCTACTTGACTTTCTCCCAGCCCGGTCGGGCTTCGGTCCAGTTGAGTTGAAGGGTATGGTTGGTGCCGGTGCTTTCGGGTACTTGTGCTACCTCCTGTTTTGGCTCCTGGCTTCGGCTAGTATGGAGTTGAGGGTGGTGGCTCTGTTGGGTGGCCAAGACCAGTGGCTGTTTGTCGGGGCTAGGTATAAGCTGTCCTGTGGCTATCAGATAGTTGACCTGTCCGAGGGGCTGAAGGGGCTGGATGGGCTGTGTGGTGTCTGGTGTGTGGGGCTTGGGGGGGGCTGATTGGGAGGAAAGAGGCACCTGCGAGTACTGGTTGAGCATGCATCAGGTTGGACGATGTCTAATTAAGTGTTTCCAGCCTGCTGGAGTTGTTGTGGTGAAGCTGCTGAGTACTGTAAAACTCCCTTGCGACCCGGCCTGGCTGATGGCTACCTGTGCAGATAGTGGATTGCAACCACCTGGTTGGACTTGTTTGGGTTCTGCGTGCTGGATGTTGTGAAGTTTGCTTGGTTTCTTTGGTTTGGCAGTGGGCATGGCTGGCGGGGGCAGGGCACTATGTGTGGTAGATAGACCCCACTGACTATTTTGATCTGCCACCACCTCTATGTGTTTCTTTTGTTTTTGGATTTTGTTTTTTGGGGGACAGGCAGCAGGTACAGGTCCTCCTCACCATTACG